AGAGGGCATGGAGCCCCCCCACCCCCACCATGCCTCCTTAATACATGGAAGGCTTCTCCTCTCCTTTGGGATTGGTCACTTTGTCCAGATTTTTGCTGATGATGTCATAGAGTTCCGCCTGGGGAAAGAGAAGGAAGGGGAATCAGGAAAGGGCAGTGAGGCAGCAGGCCGGGCCGCTCACAGCAGGCCGGGCCGCTCACAGCAGGCCGGGCTGCTCACAGCAGGCCGGGCTGCTCACAGCACTGACGCTCCAGCAGTCGCACATCGATGGTTAAAAGTAACACAAAAACCTGTGATCATCAAATTCCTCGGATTCAGACACGGAACTAATTTCCTCCTGATATGTCCCACAATTCACACAAAACCCAGCACAAATAAACTATCGTAGTATTTTCATTACCCAACTGCTCAACAGCTGTCATACTATTAACGGTTTTAACTGTATAGCATTTAACAATACATTCAGCTCCCAAACTGTATTGGAAAGGTCCCACAAGAATGTCAGAAGTCCCACAATGCACCGTTCAGAATCCCATGATTAATTGCGCCCCAAGTTCATTCTTGGGAGGTAAGTTAGTAAGACCAGTCTTGCCAAGAGCAGAAGTACGGTCTTTGCGTTCTTGGTATTGAGAAACCCATGGTTTGTCATGAATTTTGGTAAGAACTGCACACCGCACAAATTTCACGTTAATACGTCAACAAATCGACACATGTCGCTATCCTCCCCGTCTCCGTCACCACGGAGATTCGCCCTTCCCTCGCCGACACTCACATAGTATCCACGGACATCCAGGAGCATGACTCTGATCTCCGAGTACAGGGCTTCGTCTTTCTCATGGACCAGTGAGCGGTAATCCATCTGAGAGTGGGAACAAAGAGGGGGAGTGAGGGGACAGATGCACGATTGATTAGAACGGACTCACAGCTCCGAAACACAGCTTAGGCATATTATAAAACAAAACATCACTATTACTGACATGTCAAGACAACTCGAGAAACTCACCACTAAATGCTGAAATAATAATAAGATACTTTATTGATCCCCATGGGGAAATTGTTTTTACGCCTCCCTCAACTTGCTCTTTGCAGAGTAAGTTGTCCGCGAAGGACAGCCACCCGCAGCGGCGTAGCTGGGGGTTAAGGGCCTTGCTCAAGGACCCGCAGACGTGCTGAGGCGGGGTTTGAAAGACCATATTATGAAGGATCTAGACTCACCACATGCGTTTCTTTGGAAGCTTTGCCTACACCATCGCCTCGTTCTGTAAAATACCTGAGGGAGGCATTGACATCAGCCTGTCAACATTAGATTTAGTACCACAGTAGATGTCTGCCATTTTGAAATGAACATGACAAACGTCACTCCATGGGTCACGGCTGTCAGTTGAACGCCAACTCACTTGTTGATGTTGGTCTGAAATCCCTCCAGCTTTGTCTTTATTGCCACAATTCTTTCCAGAATTTTTTCCTGCAAACAAACCATCATTGAATTCGAAAAACGCTCTTTAAAAGTCAACTTTTTTGCGTGATTAATACAGCTGATGCAATGTCACTGTACTGTGTAAATCTGTGATGGCACCACGATTTGTGTTAAAAATAGCAAATAATTTAAAGAATTATCCATCTGTCTGTAAAGATAATGCATTCCTGTGTGTAACCCAGCTAAGGCACACACAAGTGCGACGTTACCTGGACCGCGACACCGAAATCGTTGCCGTCTTCGATCTTGGGAATGAGGTGCTGGATCCAGCAGGTGACCTGGGCAGACAAGAGGGAGAGTTTGTCAATGAGCTCACGGCGGCTGCACACAGCGCCCCCTGCTGCTAAGGAGCAAAACGTAACCATCAGGTCCTCGCACCCGATCCTGCAGTCTGTCTTTATGTTGCTTTGATCTCCAACGTCCAGAAACTTCTGCCACCTCTCGTTCGTCCGTCCCTCCCGTGTATTTATTTACTCGTTCCCTGAATGCTGTTCACGCTACTATACACATCAAATGTGTAACGTTTCGTGTCTTATGTAGCAGCTAAATTAATACTTACATTACACTGAACTTGAACCTTCACCGAATGTTTCATGTGCTTGTAATGTTTTTCATCCCTATACCTCTTTGGCACAACCTTGTATTGCTTTATCTTTTATTTTTGTTTTTCCATTTGTGTTATAAACTGCAGTCGCCAATGATGTAAAAGAATTTTAATGAAAAAGAATTATTGTAGGGGCCGCATGGTGGTGCAGTGGTTAGCACTGTTGCCTCACACCTCTGGGACCTGGGTTCGAGTCTCCACCTGGGTCACATGTGTGTGGAGTTTGCATGTTCTCCCCGTGTCGTCGTGGGGTTTCCTCCGGGTACTCCGGTTTCCCCCCACAGTTCAAAGACATGCTGAGGCTAATTGGCGTTGCTTACTTGCCCTTAGGTGTGCGTGTGTGTGTGTGAGTGAATGGTGTGCGAGTGTGCCCTGCAATGGGCTGGCCCCCCATCCAGGGTTGTTCCCCGCCTCATGCCTATAGCTTTCGGGATAGGCTCCGGACCCCCCGCGGCCCAGTAGGATAAGCGGGTTGGACAATGGATGGATGGATTGAAGAATTATTGTAAATTACTATTATCTATCCATCCACCCATCCAATCATCAATAATAATAATGATAATAATAAGCCGGCTGCATTTTAACGGCCCCACAGTGCAGTCTCTGGCAGCTCTCTGACAGCAGCACGGCTCTGCTGTACAGACTCACCAGGATGCAGGTCTCCTTCAGGTCCCGGATCTCAGGCTTCACCTTGTCCAGCAGCTTCATCATTTTCTCGTTGCCTGGGATGTAGCCGCACTTTGGTGCTGATCAGGGACAAACAGAGTAGTGTGACAGTCTGGTGGGCTATACCCAGAATGCTGCATGGCTGCAGGAGAGTACTCGGACGTGCGGGGCTACTCGGAGCAATTCAGTGCGGCAATTCAGAGGTTTGAGTTACTTGGAGGTGCAGGCTACTCGGAGGAGAGAGAGGGCTACTCGGAGGAGAGAGAGGGCTACTCGGAGGAGAGAGAGGGCTACTCGGAGGAGAGAGAGGGCTACTCGGACATGCGGGCAATTCAGAGGTTTGAGTTACTTGGAGGTGCATGCTACTCAAACGTGCAGGCCTACTCAGAGGTGCAGGCTACTCAGAGGTGAGAGAGGGCTACCCTGAAGAGCGGCAACATTGGCTATTTTACCTTTTTTCTTCTTCTTCTCATCCTCCTCATTCTTATCAGTTTCCATTTCCTGGTTTTCATAAGAAAACAAATACAGTCCTGTTTACAAATACGGTCACTGTACACAACAGTCACTAAGAATGAAAGAATTAGCGGTTAAATGCAAAGATAAAGGACACTGCCGAGATTCTACAGCCACCTAACACTAAATGCATCTAATACTTTACTCCCTCCCCTGAGGGAAGTCTGGAACGTGACAAACACAACATCAGCTGACCTCCTCCTCTGGTGTGGGGGGGTCAGGGATAGGAATTTCCAGAGGAGCGTGGAGAGCAGCGAGGTCAGTGATACAGAAGTCAGGCTCCTATGGGGGAGAGGATTTAAGAATTAATAATCCAAATATACATTCCAGCGAATGTTTTCCGTCCAGAATCAAAGCTCAAACTCCCCTTCAGCCTTGTTTCAGCCGCTATGGCGTCAGTATGTGGCTGATTGAGGGGACCAACCTTGAGCATTTTGTCCAGCTGTGTGATCTTCACAGGAATGCGATTTGAAAACAGGTCCTCTGCCTGCAGACCAGCAACCGAGTTAATGAGCATGCGTAGAAGCCATTTATAAGAGAACGATATTTATTCACGTCAGCAAACCCTAACACGTATATTAAACCTATAAATACCCGTAAGGCAAAGAGAAGCCTGCGGATATATGTAATCAAAGAACGAAACTCCAGAGGAGGATAAAACCAGACTAGATAACATCATCACATCACTGTCCAAAGCTGAGAAAATCCGAGTGATACCTGTGTGCATATGGACCGCATGAAGTTTTCCACCTGGGACGAAAAAAAGCATAGCATTACACGTTAAGTTAAATCATGACCGTGCCTCGCCTATTACACATGGCAAAACTTCCGCGTGTGCGAAACTTCGCACGGCAAACAACAATGGGCCTATGTTAACGTGAAATGTTACTTAGGCTATAAAATGACATTATAGACATGCACAAGAGTATACAAGCTTGGGTAGTTCACGTTACCTTTCTCTGATTAGTATATTTAGGGGAATACCAGGAGATCGCGACAATTTACTTTCGATTTCTGTACCCATGGGGGTAGCTGGCGGATGGCATGACTATGTGTTTTTTGGACAAAGACGGCAACAAATATAGTATAGTACTTGAAATACATATGCGCGGTTATTTTATATGATATTACCTAAAGGATGTGTTAAAAAGTCTATACAAATCTCGGTACGCATGCGTAATCCATTTAACCGTTTTAAAACACACGTAATCAATGCGGAATATTTAGCACATTATCCAGTTAGTTAGGATTTCTGTTCAGTTTTTACCTGATCATTTGATTTGTCGTCAGTAGCGCGTTGAAATCCAATTAGGCTAAAGCAACAAGACGCATTTTGCAGATATACTTACAATTCATTTTATCCTTCCCAGTGTTTCACTACTTACCGTGATGGCATTTGCCTTCGTTATTTTTAAAACGGCGGTTTTTGACATTGTGGCAGCGACGTAAATGAGTTATAGGTCGTTAAAGACAATAATTTAACATTAGAGCGAGAATCGGTTCGTCTCCCAGTCTTTCTTCCGTTCACTCAAATTAAACTTTCGCTTTCGCAGTTAAATCCCCGCCTCCCCCTTAACATAAAAGAACCTCCTCTTTTTAAGTCCGGCTTTAACATAGAAACATGTTGTTTTTATCATCGCACTCATCTGCGGCCGTATAGCAGCACCTGTGGATTCATGGTCAAGTGCGCGTTGTGTGAGACATAAAACCAAATTTGGTAGACAACTGATTTTCCGATATATTATTAAGAATATTATTATTTAGAAGTACCTATAGATTCGCAGATCAGCCAAACATGTTATGTAATTTATTTATTACAGAACGGCGTTTTATACATTTGTTCGAGGGGATTATAAGTAAGATGTTTTTCAGCATAAAACTTTCCCATCATAGTTAGCAACATAATTTTAGAAGTTGGTCAAAATTAAAAATAAAGAATATTCTGCCAACTTAGTTATATATGTATTTTGAACAAATATTTTTGCCCTCCCTTAACATCTGAAGTTAATGCATCTTCAGGAAGTGAGTTTCAATCTAGTTTTTCAGCCCCCGCTTTGCTGTAGCCTACCAGAAATACATTACCTGATATGGTGAAGAACTGACGTAAGATGGAAGTAAAATAAAGATGGAGAAACGGCGAAGTTCAAATAATGTAGACATTATATCAGTTCAAAAGTTGTAGTGATATAAGTTGTTTTAACTTAATTAGATTTGTAGAAGTAAAGGCAAATCATTTTGGCTGTAATTAAATATTTAAGTCAGTCTAACTTGAAAATACTCCTTTAGTTTTCTCAATAATTGAAACCGGAAAAACCTAAAAACATTTTTTTTTAAAGTTGAGTCAATTTTTTTAAGTGTATAGTGGAAACCGCTTACAGTGATCACTGTTATAGTGATTATATAGATCAACAATCTTGGTACAGAATCAATCCTGTACAAATACTGTTTAAATAATTTGCTTTATAGTAATCAAGTAGTCCACTTACATTGTTCATTTTGAGTTCTTTTTTTAATACATGACAACATATGAAAAAAATTAAAACTACCGTAATTGTTTTTATTTATTTTTTTTTTTTACTTTACTTTGATAGCCCTATTTTGCCTTACGGCAATCCGTCTGCTTCCGGCTAGCTATCTGAAGCTAATGCTGTGTGCACAGAAAACATGACGGGAAAAAGAAAGTAATTTTCTCTCAATGACAAATATACAAATATAAAAAAGAAAAACAGGACAAATCACCTAAAAACTGTTTTTATCCTAAAGCAATCATGGCTTTAAATTCAAAATAGAACTGTTATTTTTTTATATTTCACCAGTGCAATTCGTATATTTTTAATATATTTTTTTATTACTCTTATGCCTCACATCGAGTCGACTGCATTTTCAATTTCATTGTTTATAGTGACAATGACAAAGATTTATTTTATCTTACATCTTAGACTTATCAAAGCTTATGATAAACTGCCAAAACAAGATGCAGCAGCAAAACCACAATAAGCTGTATTTTATGTACAGTATTGTACTATACTATTATAGTATTATACTGTATTATAGCATATTTGAATTATACACAGTTCAGTAATTTAATTTGTACAACACTGCAATTTGAAAAGTGTTTGAAACAGCTGTATTATATTTTGAAATAGTCAATCAAATTTAGTAAATACATAGGCTGTCCATTTAATTACTTTATATGCATAATTTTTGCATAAATATACAAATGTCAATTACATAGCAATCTGCCTGTGTCAGGATATATACCTGTCCATCCCTGCCCTTCATGTCTCTTCCCCCTTTGGCCAGCAGGTGTCACTGGCCATCCTGTTCCCTCTGTTTTTGTGCTAGACCCTTGTGTGTTTTCCCTGCCCCCCAGACTGCTGCATGGCTCAGTGGTTTGAGTGTGTGGCTGTTCTGTTTCCAGGTGTTAAATTTTCTATCTTAGTTTTTCTGTCCTAGGTTTGCCGTGTTCATGTCCTGATTGATTTTTATTTTGCCTACATATGTTCGTAGTCTTCCTTCGTGTTGTTAAAGCCTTAGTGTTTGTTAGGTTCCCTGGTTCCTGTGGCCTGTACTACGAAGCGGGGTTACTGGCTTATCAGGGAAACTTGTCGGATTTAAGGTGGTCTGGGAAAAATGTAAGTGACCGAATATGAAGTCCATTTAAACTGTGGTATCTTAAATCCGACAAGTTACCCCGATAAGCCAGTAACCCCGCTTCGTAGTACAGGCCACGGGTCTTGTTAATTGAAAGTTATTTCACTTGTGTCTTGTTGTTCCATGGTCTTGGTGATTAGCTGTTCACACCTGCCCTTTGTTAGTCCTCATCATCAGTGTATTTAAGTTCCTGCCTTTGTTCATTTCCCCAGTCAGTCATTGTGCTTTGTTACTTTGTATCATGCTCCTGGTCCTGCCCGTTTCCCTTCGTATGTTAGCTTATTGATTTTCTTTTAATTTGTTTGTTTTTTCCTCTAGTTTAGTTCCGACCCCTTGTGGTACCTTTTATTTTGTGATTTCTCTCAGTATTCTCTTCTGTTTTTTAATAAACCCATTTAGTCCCTAAACCGCAAGTGGATCGTTCACCTTTTTCCTGCCTGCACCATGCCCCGCCGTCATAACAGCCTGAGTCAAAGAAAAAGTAGAAAAAAATCGCTTATAATGATCACCCGCTTATACTGAACAATTTCACCCAGACAGATGTCATCACTATAAGCGGATTCCACTGTATGTGTACAAGTATTTTATCTGGAAAAATTAATGCAAGGCTGCTTTTGGTAATATATTATACCTATAGATATTGATTACTGAGTAACTATCTGTCTTCCTATTATGTTTCTACTGTTACCACATTTATTTGTTTTTCTTACTCAATCAAAACAACAGCATGCAATTGCAGTTCGCTTGTGTTACATTACCGCCATCTTCTGGCGATATTGCTGCACGGCAATTTGGTAGGTATAATACAATTTTTTAGGTGTTAAACAAAACAAAAGAAGAACTCAAATTGTTTATCACACTAACAATTTCTTATACTGATCAACGGACGACGTGTAATATGTATTTTAAAGTCACGGTTATAGGGAAGTTAAGCAATACACCTTATCGCCGCAGCGTCACGGCAGGCGCAGTATATAAGCGCGAGCACGTGTTTTCGCGGAACCCTTTCTAACCGGGAGAGGAGCATTCTATATTTAGAGAATGAGAAACACATGCTGTCTGCAGTGTAATCTTTAGTAAAGTGAAACTAGTACATTGTTTATTTCGGGCTTCTCGGGGGGAGGGGGGATGTCTTATCAAGTCAGTACTGCAAACTCAAATGCTGAACCTGTTTTTACTAGGACTGCATAAGCATTTGTTTGCTGTATTAATATAACGTAATATACATTATATATATTTTAAATACTTATCCCTGTTCTTCCATGACGCAGGACGATCCACCCCTGCAATGCACGGCTGTCTAAGCTCAGCCGCTGGATATAATTTCGCTGCTGGAAACTGGATCGGCTGACAGCAGCAGTGCTGTAAATGTTACTGTGCGCTGTGGTCATGTAACGAATGTACTTCACTCAACAAGTACACTGGATTTACCTAACACGCCAAGGCTTTGCTGTCGAGCGAAAGGCACAGATTTAAGTTATTTACGCCTTTTCACAGACGGGGAATTTATATCACAGACTACGGATGCATGCACATTACTGGGTAGTGAATTATAATGATCTCATGCGATTGTCTTTTATTTTCGTGTCCTATTAAATAAACGCAATATTTGTTTTTACATGGAGCGTAGCGCCACCTAGCGGAGGATACGCATATCTACAGCCCTCACTGTCGTCAAAAGCAAGTCCGCTTCCGGAGCGGTGGGTCGTTTTCCATCTTATGTATGATCAGGGATTTTTTTAAAATGAAACCGTCGCACTGAATTCGCATTTTGGACTAAGAGGGCGAAGGCCGGGAGCCGCAGCCGGCGTGAGTGTCGCCGACCGTCGGTGACCGTGACAGCATGGACAGGAGCGACCCTGCAGTCGGTGACAGTCGGGAAAATGCTGATAAATAACGGGCTTCTGCATTAACCTGCATGTGCGTGTGAAGGCAGCTCCGCCGCCATCTGAATCGTTTTATTTTGATGTTATGCCCATTTGGCACATTGACATATTTATGATAACGTGACAGACTGCTGGAAAAGCACTTTATAAGCTTATAGGAAGCATTATTGTTAAATTATTAATTACTTATTTAAAGGTATAAGCATCTGCTCAATATGCTGAGTTAGTGTTAAGCTCGGTGGACAAGTGGAGCATGAAGGTCTTTTTTAGTATCACCGAATGACATGCTTGGTTATCACTATAAATCACGCATTCAGCGACGCGGTAAATTATTTAGGATTTGAAAAAACAATATATTCGTTTAAGATAAATATATAAAATATTATAATTTCAAATGCGCAGTCATAGACGAGCGTGTTAAAAGTTTTCTTTTAAACAATTTTTAAATATTTCTGTTCCATAGTCTTCTAAACATATTTGATAGTTATTTTGTGCGTTTGCATCAATATATGATTTACTGGTTTTTAAAATGATGCGAACACCATTAAACACACGAGTAAAACGTTCAAAACATGCATATTGCAATAAGTAATGGTGTACGTCATCGCTGTGGTAACCCGTTCACACACTTACATCGCGTTATCTGACAGGAAGACATCCTTACATAGGTGATACGTAACGCACTATGTGTCACCAAATAGCTAATGAGTAGGTTTGGGAAGCTGTGTTCTGTAACGATAACGAGAGCACCGTCCCCATCTTCCAGTAGTTAAAGTCACGTGGGCTTTATTTCCATCCATCCATGTGCAGGTTTATCATAGCACGAAACAAACGTTCCCCCAGGGCATTGGTGTCAGAAACAGCAAATATCAAAGTGGGGATTTTCACAGTACTTACAGTGCACAACACAGGACAGTTGGAAACAGGGAGGCTGGACGCAAGGATTTATAAACATAGTGCAATGTGTCTGTAAACAATAAATACAGCAGAATAAAAATAGTGGGACTGAATAAATCGATAAATAATTATACATTATAATGTCCAGTGCAGGTTCAGCTGCAT